CGCCGCCGCCCGCCGCCACCACCACCCCCACCACCACCACCACTACCACCACCACCACCACCACTACCACCACCACCACCACCACACCACAAACCACCACCACCCCCCCCCCCCCCCCCCCCCACCACCCCGCCGCCCCGCCGCCGCCGCCGCCGCCACCACCACCCTGCCGCCGCCACACCCCCACCACTCCCGCCCCCCACCACCGTGTTTCCCTTTTGACCACAGCCCCCAGGCCCGGGGCTACCTCACCGTTACCTGGATACTACTGGGAAAACTCTACATTATGTTTGTCTAAATTCCCACACCTGTTACTCGACCACACCTGCCAGGCTACTGGACCACACCTGCTAGGCTGCTTGACCACACCTGCTAGGCTGCTTGACCACACCTCTCAGGCTACTCGACCGCACATACCAGGCTGCTGGACCACACCTGCCATACTTCTCGACCACACTTGCCAGGCTACTGGACCACACCTGCCAAACTGCTCGACCACACCTGCCAGGCTGCTTGACCACACCTGCCAGACTGCTTGACCACACCTGCCAGGCTACTGGATTACACCTGCCAGACGGCTCGATCACACCTGCCAGGTTGCTTGACCACACCTGCCAGGTTGCTCGACCACACCTGCCAGGTTGCTCGACCACACCTGCCAGGTTGCTCGACCACACCTGCCAGGTTGCTCGACCACACCTGCCAGGTTGCTCGACCACACCTGCCAGGTTGCTCGACCACACTGCCAGGTTGCTCGACCACACTGCCAGGTTGCTCGACCACACCTGCCAGGTTACTCGACCACACCTGCCAGGTTGCTCGACCACACCTGCCAGGTTGCTCGACCACACCTGCCAGGTTGCTCGACCACACCTGCCAGGTTGCTCGACCACACTGCCAGGTTACTCGACCACACCTGCCAGGTTGCTCGACCACACCTGCCAGGTTGCTCGACCACACCTGCCAGGTTGCTCGACCACACCTGCCAGGTTGCTCGACCACACCTGCCAGGTTGCTCGACCACACCTGCCAGGTTGCTCGACCACACCGCCAGGTTGCTCGACCACACCTGCCAGGTTGCTCGACCACACCTGCCAGGTTGCTCGACCACACCTGCCAGATTGCTCGACCACACCTGCCAGGTTGCTCGACCACACCTGCCAGGTTGCTCGACCACACCTGCCAGATTGCTCGACCACACCTGCCAGGTTGCTCGACCACACCTGCCAGGTTGCTCGACCACACCTGCCAGGTTGCTCGACCACACCTGCCAGGTTGCTCGACCACACCTGCCAGGTTGCTCGACCACACCTGCCAGGTTGCTCGACCACACCTGCCAGGTTACTCGACCACACCTGCCAGGTTGCTCGACCACACCTGCCAGGTTGCTCGATCACACCTGCCAGGTTGCTCGACCACACCTGCCAGGTTGCTCGACCACACCTGCCAGGTTGCTCGACCACACCTGCCAGGTTGCTCGACCACACCTGCCAGGTTGCTTGACCACACCTGCCAGGTTGTTCTACCACAACTTTCAGAGGTCTGGTGATCTCAACCAGTTTTTTATATTATGTTCCTTCAGGTGAGACTTAATCATTCTGCTGAATTATAATTAGAAATGTTCTTTCGACGAGGCTTATTGAAATACTTCAAAATATTGAAGTGAGCAGTGTTGATAAATCATCTCTATGTCATGTTCAAAATCCTTCATCCTTTTGTTAAATGGTACCATCCTTTGTTACAATGTGCTTATATTGGTAATAGATGTTAATAAGTCTATTCTTTGCTTTGCCACATTATATTGTAGAGTTTTGGAGAGATCTTCTTTTCCCACATTTTTTATGTTGTCTTTCTTGGAAATGCTGCACTATCCAACCTGCTGGGTTGTGATGGCTGTGTGGGTCTGCGAGCCATTAGCAGCAATAGCCTGATTGACCAGGTGGTTAACACAGAAGCCTGACATCATATTGGGCTGCGAGGATAAAACCTTCAATACCAGTCACAGTATATACAAATAAACAGAACGACACTTTGGTGTCATCCTCCCTACTGTTTCCATCTTTCTTAACATTTAACAAAATGTTCAGTCTCATGTTGCTCTCTCTTATAATGCTCTACACATTGACTGTTTCCTAACATACGTGTTTTTTTTTTATAATTTATTTGTCAGGGAAATCACGTGACTATGTTTTAATTATATATTTGATGATCCGTCTGGAGCCTCGACGTTTGGTGGTGATGCCGGTGAAGACAGTGCTCGTCTTACAAAGATTTTAGCAGCTCTTTGGTTTAACGTGTCTCCATGAATATAATAACCATTATCTAGTTTTTTTTTATTTTTAATTTTCATTGTATCCTGCTGCAGTACGTTTTAAGACCTTTTTCCCATTCACTTCGACTAACTTAAGATCTTCATTGTTTATCTTATAAATGCAATAGTTACTTTCTTTTTCCTTAAACATACTCTAAAGGTTGAAATTATAACCAGGTCTTTTTTAAAGGGATGGACCAGTAAGCCAGCGGAAGGCCTTACACTTGTCTGCATTCACCTCTTATTTCCTGCCATGATGTGAGATGATGTTCTGTTTCTGTATATTAAATAATTCTTATATACAGTAGTCAGTGACATTGTTTTAGGAGTAGAAGGAGCAGTGAACCGATAAGTAAATTATAAAAATATTAAACAGGGAAAGCTTTATAAAGTTTTCCTTGAGTGAAACTTTTTTTAAGCAAAGACTTTCTTTTATGTGTCTGTTATATTTCTGGAGTTTATATTGAGTCTGAAGATACAACTGAGTCGATTGTTATTTCCTTTACAACCTCAGTGAAAAAGTTAAGGGCAACTGATTAAGTTTGAGTATATGATATTTAATCTATATTATGTTGTGAAATACACGTTTTATTAGGCTCACTAGACCATATAAATGGCGCTGCTTGATCAACATTTTTTTACAGCTAGATATCACAAATTTATCAGATATCTTGAAAAGTCTGTGACGACATGTTTTAGAATTTAGGACGTACATACTTATTTCCGGTTTCGCGAGTCCTACTCTCAAAGGCCAGCCTGAGGAAAAATATCAATTCTGATTGCCTGGTCAACCAGGCTGTTTCCAACAGTGATTCGCAGGCCTACATGACCAACAACCTGCCTGATCTAGCACCAGAAGCTCATACTGTAAGCCCAAGTGCAAAAATACGAGATTACGAAGACGTTATCGGACCTCATTTGTATATAGTGATTTATATATTTTGAATGTTACAAGAGCTTTTTAATGGATTACACTTTCATTATATAGTTAATTATATATTTAATGCAATATATGAATACAACCGCAGAATTTTGGACAAGATTATTGACACTGAAATTACTGGATTACTATATGTACGGTATTGCAACTTATCGTACGGTAGTTAATTTATCTAGTTGATTTCAGATATCTTATCATTGACAATGAGGTGATTTATAATTACCTGAGGGGTTTGTTTGTGCCCGTCTCTATGCTGTTGAATATTTGACCACTAAGATATAATAATCTAGTGCGTTGCCCTGTCTTTACGTATCATGTGATTGGCATCTCCATGCAAACTGTACTGCCAAGTACGTGTATATTTATACTTAAGGGTGTAGTCCGCTAATCTTGTTTTATAAACATAGTTTCACTTGACACGTTATTATGACGGACAAAGGATGTGCTAGTTCCTATCAGCTCTACTTTCATCCGTCCTCTTAACTACAGACATCATGGCACTGTTGTTGTAAAAACAGTCAAATGAGTGACTATTGACGGCGCCTTGGACACTATGAATATGACTTATTGCACCTCATGCAGTGGGTACTGGTTTTTTGTTTGAGCGGCAGACTTTTTTTTATAACCTTTTATCTTGTATATTTATTTTTTTTAACCTAACTTAACGTAGAAATGTGGTGTAAACCCTGAGTGAAGAAGTGTCAGTTACTCCTTCACAGTTATTTGCTACTTCCTTTTTTATAACTTTTAAATTTCTGCTTAACAAATGAAAATTGTATCAGCATTATTTTTTTATTCTGAATGCGAGTTTAACCAGTGAGGGGCCTCTGTATAAAGGGATTAACAAGAGTTTAACCTGAATATCTTTATTAATAATTCGCATATCTGTATTGAACAGAACTTATTTTCCATTCACAATAATTTAGGAAGCCAATATTACCCCTTAACAGTTAGTGGCAAAATTGGATGTTCTTATCATAAATGAACGGTAAGTTTCTCACTTGTTATGTTACATATTAACAGGTGGAAGGCAGCTCAGTATTATTCTGGTTGGCAATAGAAAATGAAAGATTGTTAATTTTATTTAACCACGTTTCGCCCACTGTGGACCTATTAATTATTCTTATACTTAGATGCTGAAGCTTGATGTTGCTCTACTAAGAGTCCAGTACACTGGAGGAGCCTAGTATGGAAGTGTATATCATACATACTACATGCTACTAATATTAATGCTCTACCTTTGCAACTTGATATTGCTGTATTACAAAAATGTAAAATTTCATCATCATAATTTTTTTAATTTGCTATGAGTCTGCAACATTTATATACTTATAGTAAGATGCTTAGTCATTGAAGTTTAGCTACTATATGACACTTTTCTCTTCTTATTTTATTTGGTTTATATCCATAATTTTGTTTAGTAATAGTTTCTGTAGTAAATTGATTTCGCCTCTTTCTTTCTCCTTGTTCCTCTGATTAGTATTTTTAGTTAGGTTGCGTGACTTGATTTTAGGTCTTACCATCAAAGACAAGGAATTGATCAAGACAGTTGTCAAATAGATTCATTATACAATAGATTAAGAGGTGTGAATTCTCATAGAAGGTTGGTAGTGGCTGATGGGGGAGTGAGTTAATGTGGTGGAGCAGCCACTGAACGGTGGGAACACCAGGGTCTCGGGCAAGGGGCGGAGCCAGCCAACATGTACATTCGTCGTCGACTGGGATCGTGCGGGAGGTAACACATTATTCTGACTTCACCGTGTGCGCCAACTGGAGCGACAGAAACTTCTGTCTGTCTGTGCTGCAGTCCACTTGTTAAGATATCTGGGTAAACGAACTTAAAACGCACGCCAAGTTCCTTTAAATGTGAAACTAATGTGTTGTTGGTTTGTTGCTGAAATTGTAACTTATTATTGAAATAGCTATATGACAAGGATTTCTCTTGGCAAGAAAAAGATATCCAGTATACCACATGTACATGAAAATATGAAGGAGTGAAAAAAAAGAATAATACCAGCAACGTGTTTTGTTCTAGTGTGTATGACAGCACTCGTGCTCAATGTAAACAAAATTTCAGCCGAGGTTGAGAAACAAAACAATGTATGTATACTACCACTACAGCAGCTCCTGTCACCTGCTACAGCGTCCATTCCCTCGGGCTGCCTACTGCATCCTTCTTCACTTCTTCCCTCGTTCCTCATGCAGAAAAATAAAAAAAGGAAGGAAATTATTAGTGCGTAGTGAACTAGTGATTGTGTGGGAGGTTGTCCCTGCCTGCTAGTGGTCACTGGATACCCATAGTGATACCTGACCCCGCGGTACCTGCCAGGGCACGACACTAGTGCCACCAGGGCTGGGCAGTGCCACCAGGCCCAGCTTCTACTATCAGGACTACGTATACTTTGGAGTGGTTTTAATAGAAGTCAATCACCATCTGCAATGGTAGGTCTGACGACATACTGGGAATATGACAGAGTGTAGATAGACAACAGTGTCACGAGGGCCTTGTAACGAGTACGTCCAGAGTCAGGTCACCATTAGTGCCAGCCTTGCCAAGACGCTGCAGACATCCATACCTGGCTTTGGGTATTAAACTACTAACATCACAAGGTCAGGCATACCCTGCACATGTGACACTAGACGCATTACTATATATCACAACACTGTAAGTCCTGGAAGACTCGACTAAGAGAACTTTTAGATGAAGTGAAGCCAGGAGATGAACTTAGTAATGGTTGCAGAAGATCGGAAGGAAACTTTGAAGAGTTTGTGATTGAAAGTGACGTGGAAGACACGCTAGAACTGTGACAGGAAGACGGAAGAGCTGAGAGATAGAAAGGATTGTCTTCACGTCACGATGGAACACGCTTACGAGCTGAGACAGTTTTGTGGTGGGGAGCTGAGACCTGTTGAGAGATACTACCAGACCCAGGGTGAGTTGTGCTTGTAGTTGCTCTTTATATCATGCTGCCGCCACTCATTGTTGTTGCTCTCTCTTTCTCTTTCAGGAGGGGCAGGGTACTTTGATGCCGATGAATGACTCCTTATTAAAGGAATTAGAGCTACCCTTCTCTTCCTTGAATCAGATTTAATTACCACTCATTCCCTAGGTGTTGTGTGACCCCACGGGTCTACCGTTTCCTTGTTAATATTATAATAATTTTCTTGCCAGTACTTCTACAGTTACGCTCTTTAACACTTGACACCACCCACTACCTCCAACCACTGAGCCACCATTATCCTTACACTACCACCAACCATTACCACTATCCTTAATGTTGCCACCAGTCACTATCACTATCCTTAATGTTGCCACAAGTCACTATCACTATCCTTGATGTTGCCACCAGTCACTATCACTATCCTTAATGTTGCCACCAGTCACTATCACTATCCTTATTATTGCCACCAGTCACTATCACTATACTTGATGTTGCCACCAGTCACTATCACTATCTTTAATATTGTCACCAGTCACTATCACTATCCTTGATGTTACCACCAGTCACTCACTATCCTTAATGTTGCCACCAGTCACTATCACTATCCTTAATGTTGCCACCAGTCACTATCACTATCCTTAATATTGCCACCAGTCACTATCACTATCCTTGATGTTACCACCAGTCACTATCACTATCCTTAATGTTACCACCAGTCACTATAACTATTCTTAATGTTGTCACCAGTCACTATAACTATCTTTACTGTTGTCACCAGTCACTAACTATAAGGTTATATTTGTCCCTATCACTAGTCACTGTCACATGTACGTATATGTGTGAGATACATGACTGTATAAAGAGGTTGTGTACATATGGAAGCATGGCTGTGTGAGGTAAGTTGTATACATGCATGTATGGTGCATGGCAATACGTACATGTCTCGTGCAACACTGGGGGGAAGTTGTGTAAACTGTGGTGCATGGCTATACGTACATGTATGGTGCAACATTGTGTGGTGCATGACTGTATAGGGAGGTTGTGCATGTACCTGAGCGGCGTAGGTATATACATGTATGGTGGTGTGTACATATGTGAGGGAGGTGTGTGCATGTGTGGGGAGATGTGAACATGTGCCGTGGAGATGCATACATATGTAGGGAGGTGTGAACATGTGCCGTGGAGATGCATACATGTGTGGGGAGGTGTGAACATGTGCCGTGGAGATGCATACATATGTAGGGAGTTGTGAACATGTGCCGTGGAGATGCATACATGTGTGGGGAGATGTGAACATGTGCCGTGGAGATGCATACATGTGTAGGGAGGTGTGAACATGTGCCGTGGAGATGCATACATGTGTGGGGAGATGTGAACATGTGCCGTGGAGATGCATACATGTGTAGGGAGGTGTGAACATGTGCCGTGGAGATGCATACATGTGTGGGGAGGTGTGAACATGTGCCGTGGAGATTCATACATGTGTTGGGAGGTGTGAACATGTGCCGTGGAGATGCATATATGTGTGGGGAGGTGTGAACATGTGCCGTGGAGATGCATACATGTGTAGGGAGGTGTGAACATGTGCCGTGGAGATGCATACATGTGTGGGGAGGTGTGAACATGTGCCGTGGAGATTCATACATGTGTTGGGAGGTGTGAACATGTGCCGTGGAGGTGCATACATGTGTGGGGATGTGCGTAAGTTCTTGTAGTCTACGCGCCGAATTATATTTGGAGGGTCGAGTGTCAGCATTACTGATATCTGGCTGTTCGTTGCTTAAAACTATTCTTGAAACTGTGTATGGAGTTTACTTTCACCACTTTCTCATCCAAGTCATTCCATTTTTCAGCTACCTTAAGATTAAAGAAATAATTCCTAACATCTCTATGGCTCTTCTGCGTCAGCTTCCATTCGTGTCCTTTTGTTTCTGGCTCTCTTAAATCAGACGGTTTATCCCTATATTTCCTACCACTTCCTGTTATTACGTTATAGGTCGTTATTATGTCTCCTCTAGTTCTATTGTTCAAGGTCGTCAGAGTCGGTTGTTTCACCCTCTCTAGTGCTTTGGACCTTTCCTAGCTGCTGCACCTTCTTGATGAGTCACTAGCTCCACGCTGGGGCCACTTTATATATGGCTGGTATAGAGTTTTGAAAATTCTTTGGGGAGATTTCTGAATTCTAATTTGAGGTTTGCTTATGTTAGCACATGATTAGCCGGGCTGTGGTTCGTACATCGGTTTGCGTGTGGCCGGCAGTAACAGCTTGGTGCCCTGATCCACCGCGAGGCCTGGTCATGGACCGGACCGCGGGGGCTTTGACCCCCCGGAACATTCTCTGTGTACCTCAGTGAAGTTTGCTATAATATTTAACCTCGTGTCCATTACTTTTGTTGATATTTGCAGCGTCTGTCCTCGTACCTACCTGGAGTCTACCTGGAGGGTATTCCGGGGATCAACGCTCCCGCAGCCCGGTCCACGACCAGGTCTCCCGGTGGATCAGGGCCTGATTAACCAGGCTGTTACTGCTAGCCGCACGTAGTCCAACGTACGAACCACAGCCCGGCTGATCCGGCACTGGCTTTAGATATCTGTCCAGCTCCCTCTTCAAGGCAGCCAGGGGCCTATTGGTAATTCCCCTTATGCTTGGTGGGAGGCTGTTGAACAATCTTGGGCCCCGGACACTTATGGTGTTTTCTCTTAGTGTACCAATGGCGCCCCTACTTTTAATTGGAGGTGTTTTGCATCGCCTGCCCAGTCTTTTACTTTCGTAGGGAGTGATTTGTGTGTGCAGATTCGGGACCATTCTTTCTAGGATTTTCCAAGTGTAGATTATGATATATCTCTCTCTCCTGCATTCTAGCGAGTACAAGTCAAGTGCTTCCAAGCGTTCCCAGTAGTTGAGGTGCTTGATAGACCTTATACGTGCAGTAAAAGTTTTCTGTACACTCTATAGATCTGCAATTTCACCTGCTTTGAATGGAGATGTTAATGTACAGCAGTATTCCAGCGTAGAGAGAAGTGATTTGAAAAGGATCATCATTGGCTTGGCATCTCTTGTTTTGAACGTTCTCATTATCCATCCTATCATTTTATTTGCACTTGTGATCGTGGCACTGTTGTGATCCTTAAAAGTGAGATCCTCAGACATTACTACTCCCAGGTCCCTTACATTATTTTTCCACTCTATTGTATGGCCGGAGTCAGTAGTATACTCTGTTCTAGTTATTATCTCCTCCAGTTTTCCATAACGGAGTAGTTGGAATTTGTCCTCATTGAACATCATATTGTTTTCCGTTGCCTACTGGAAAACTTGGTTTATATCTTCTTGGAGGTTAACCGTGTCCTCAAGAGATGACAATCTTATGCAGATCCTAGTATCGTCTGCAGAGGATGACACGGTGCTGTGGATTACATCTCTGTCTATGTCTGATATGAGGATGAGGAGCAGGATGGGGGCGAGTCCTGTGCCTTGTTTAACAGCTCTTCACTATGGCAGCCTTCGATTTAACTCTGTTGACCACTACTCTTTGTGTTCGATTGGTTAAGAAGTTGAAGATCCATCTCCCCACTTGGCCAGTTATTCCTTTAGCACGTATTTTGTGCGTTATTACGCCATGATCGTACTTGTCAAACGCTTTTGCAAAGTCTGTGTATATTACATCTGCATTTTGTTTTTCTTCCAGTGCATCCAAGACCATATCATAGTGATCCAGTAGTTGTGAGAGGCAGGAGCGACCTGCCCTGAACCCATGTTGCCCTGGATTGTGCAGTTTTTGGGAATCCAGGTGGTTTGCAATCATGCTTCTTAGCACTCTTTCAAAGATTTTTATGATGTGGGACGTTAGAGCTATTGATCTATAGTTCTTAGCTAATGCTTTGCTGCCACCTTTATGGAGTGGGGCTATATCCGTTGTTTTAAGTGACTGGAATTTCACCCGTGTCTAAGCTCCTTCTCCATTGTATACTTAGGGCACGTGAAAGGGGTTTCTTGCAGTTCTTAATGAACACAGAGTTCCTCGAGTCTGGGCCTGGGGCTGAGTGCATGGGCATGTCGTAGGCACAGACTCTGCCCGATGGTCCCTTACCTAGCACCAATAGTCTGGTTGATCAAACCATCAACCAGGAGACCAGATCTGGGCCCGGGCCGCTGGAGCGGTGTATCCCCTCCCTCCTATATGGCCTTCAGGTAACCTCCAGACCGCGAGACCTGCATTTGTTAGAAGTGAACTGCAGCAGCTATTTGCTGGACCCCGTGTGTAGCTTGTTTAGATCACTCTGCAGCCTTTGTCATATTTTATCCTGTTGTACAGGCTGTTATAAAGGCAGTTGTACAGGCTGTTGTAAAGGCATTTGTACAGACTGTTGTGAAAACAGTTGTACCGGCTTTTGTGACGGTTGTAACGCAAGTTGTACAGGCAGTTACATAGACTGTTGTAAAGAAAGTTGTAGAGGCTGTTCAAAGGCTGTTGTTGTACAGGCGAAGAATTGTCTCAGTGAAAGATGTCCTGTATACACCATTTTATCTACTTTGACCAGCATTAGTGCTTTCCGGCCTACTGGGTCATATCATATCTACTCTTGAAGCTTGTACAGGGAGTGCCTCCACCACTTCCACATACAAGTCGTTACGCTTTTCAACCACACTTAGAGTAAAGAAACAGTAACATCCCTATGGTTCATCTGTTTCCAGCTTCCATCTGTATCTGTTTCTCCTGAACCTCTTAATTCATACAGACTATGCCTATACTATCAGTTCTTAAAATTCTGAGGTCAGTATAATGCCGCTGGATTTGTCAGTATTATCGTAATAGTCAGGTTCCTATACATCCACAAATATAACGTCTTTCCACCTCTCCTGCTAAGTTCTCTTGGAAAAACTTAATATAACGTAGTTAATTAACTATAGTAATATAGTAGAACAATTTTATTAGCTTTCGGGTGATGCCTGCCAGGTATGTAATCCACTTCGTAATAAGCATACTGTAAGC